TTCTGACGGAGCCCAGCCGGGCCCGGAGTGCCGGAGGGGTGCGGGGGTCGGGGGCCCCAGACTCGTGGCGTCAGACCGACGTGGGGCGTTGGGGACCTGGGTCGGGGGTCGCCGGCGGACCCCAGTCGGGCGAGAGCGTCCAGAGGGTGGAGTGTGTTAGGGGATCAGGAAGGGGACAGTCTGGGGACACCGAGGTGTTTACGGGGCCACCCAACGCCTGTGGGTGTGATGGCCCAGGCTGGGGGCGGGGGTTAGGGGTCGGGGTCGACCGATTTGTATGGGCGCAGGGGATTGTGGGCGTCAGGTGTGTGGGGGGGGTCTCAGAAAATGGGACCCGAACCTGGAAAGTGCAGGCAGGTGAGGTTTCGTGGTGGAGGGGGGAGGCCATGGGGTGGAATGATGTTTCTGTCCTGTCTGAGCTTGGGCCTGCTGGTGGTAGGGGTCGGTTTGGGGTGACAAAATGGGGCTGGGGGCTCCCAGGGTTGGAAGAGGCCTGGGGATGCAGTGGGGAGTCTCCCCTGCTCCTGGGAAGGAGGCTACTTGGAGAAGGTGAGAGGGAGGCCTAGCAGAGCGAGCAGGACTCCCAGGGAAGGATTTGGGCCCAGGTCCCTGATGCAGAAGGGAAGGGGTGATATTAGGTTTTGGGTGCCAAAGCAAAAAGGCTTGGGGTTTCTAGGTGGTTGGGGTTAGTGCTGTTGGGGAGTTAACAGGAAGATGGAGGCAGGGAGGCCTTGGTAGTGAATCAGTGCCCCAAGTGATCCTTGGGCCCTAAAAATGGCTTTTCCAAGGCTTCAGGGGCTGTTCTCTTTGCAAGACAGAAAAAGAAAAATCAAATTCCAGCATCCTCTCTTGGCCTGTGATTGGATACAGGCCCAGGGCCTGGATTCCGGGTTCAAATCCTATCCCTGCCAGTAGCTTGCTCTGTGACCTTCGCCAAAGGGTTTGACTCCTCTGGCCTCAGTTGTCTTTTCTGTTGGGGTGCATGTCTCCAACTTCCTGGGGTGTCGCTGAGCATAAAATAATAATTAATTCGAATCATAGCCAACACTGTTGGAGCCCGATGCCCCCAGGGTGCGGTGACTGTCTTGTTCATTTATCCCAAACTCCTGGGTGGTTAAGTCCGCTGTATAGACGGGGGAAACTGAGGCTTGGAGTCTGTGAGTCATAGAGGAGGTGATTGGCAGTGCAGGGAACAGGTAAAGAAGAGGGTTCGAGGTGCCAGGCAGGATTCTTACAGCCATCCCTCCCCCAGGGCCAGTTCCCGACCCCCTACCACCATGGCGTCCTGTGCAGAACCCTCTGAGCCCACAGCCCCACCGCTGGCTGGAGTCCCACCTCTGGAGGACTTCGAGGTGCTGGATGGGGTCGACGCGGAGGGCGAGGAGGAAGAGGAGGAGGAGGCCGACGACGAGGACGAAGATGACGATGACCTCAGTGAGCTGCCACCCCTGGAGGACATGGGACAGCCTCCAGCAGAGGAGACTGAGCAGCCAGGGGCCCTGGCCCGAGAGTTCCTCGCCTCCATGGAGCCCGAGCCTGCCCCAGCCCCGGCCCCAGAAGAATGGTTGGACATTCTGGGTAAGGCACCAAGGGGTGACTGGGGTTGACCCAGTTGGCTTGAGTTCAGGGATGACCTTGCCAAGGCTCTGGTGTCCCCTGAGTCTCATCATCTCCCGCTAGGAGGGTTGAAAGTGAGTGGTAACCATGGCGATCGCCAGCCACCGTCAACTGCTCGAGACATTTCACGTTTCTGAACCCCATTCATCTGCGCACGTGCGCGCGCTCACACACACACACTCCCGGCGTGCTGGGTCTCTGTTTCTCAGAACTGCTCACAGCGGCCCAGAGAGGCTGAGTCACCTGCTGAGAGCCACACAGCCAGCGCAGCAGGCTGGGGGCAGTTCTCTATCTCTGCTGCATTTTTTTTCCTCTGCATTTGTGTGACACACGCTTATTCCCTGAAACACGCGTGGGTCCTGAGGTCCCGTAGATCTAGAGAAGGTTCTGTTTGTCATGGGACAGGTTAGCATTCTTTTCTTTTCTTTCTTTTTTTTTTTAATTCAACTTTCTTTCATTTATTTGTTTTAATTTGACTAGAGAGGGAGAGAGAGAGAGGGAGAGAGGGGAAGTGAAAAAGCAAGCCACCAGGTCTGGGACTGGAACCGTGGTCGGCCTTGTGGGAGTCCAGCACCTTAACCACCACGCCACCTGCTAGCCCAGCATTTTTTTTTTTTTTTAAG